CCACATGGCATATCTCTACCAACTAGAGGCCTAGGAACATGAACGATAGCTCTAGAAGCTTCTACAACCCTCTATGATTCATTATACGTCATCGCTCCTTAGTTACCCACAAGATTGGTTAAGTTATGACATAATTTGTCTATAGGTACTCTGACCTTGGACCTCCTTTTCACTTCCTATAGGCTAGGAACCCAAGAGATGGTTCTATGGGATTCTCTTACGTTCACTACATGATTAGCAAGCTAGTTGTGGGTCGCACTTGATTTCTAATACATTTACCAAGCCTGGTTAGTCATGGAAAGTCATGGAAAATGAGAGAACTACACTCCTTTGGCATAAATAGGATTGCCCTTTCCTTAAGAAAGGGCAAGCAGGCAATACAGTAAATCGACTAGCACATACTTCTACGTCTTTTCCAAGCTTCCAAGCATTGATCTTGTTATTCTCTGTTTTTGAATCAGTGAGGTGCTAACCTCTGACTTACCCCTGAGTTCTCAGACTCAACATTTGTTGCAACTTGTCTAAACCACTTCACCACATCATACACCTGATTGCTGCGTTGTGGAATAGTCTAAGCTACAACCCTTTGGCTCTGTTTCCTAAGACAGTGTGTTGTCTTAGTAAATTCATCCCTTCCTTGGGTGGCTAGATTCTCATATCTGGTGCACCCACCATTACAGGGGAAGCGAGTGCGTCCACTCGTTTACGAGAGGAAGCAAGTGCGTCCTCTATCAAATGCCTGTGAATGGCTGGCAGCAAACCCCTCTGAACCTATAGGTGCTGCCAGTCAGATTTTTAAGGTCCCAAAGTCGACTATACAGTCAAGAATCACCTGAGCAGTCCCACAGAAGCTGCCCCATGGAGGTCACAATAGGGTGCTTTCTATAGACCAAACGGAGGCCCTAAAGACCTGGATTCTAGAGCAGTATTACCTAGGATTAGGGGCTAATAGGCATATGGTTTATGGGGCAGTATGCCACCTACGGAGCCCACTGCCTCCACCGTCACAGAGCTGGCTCACTAAATATATACGGAATGAGCTTATGGATTTCCACTTTATCACTACAAAGCCTATTGCGCAACAGCGTACGCAAGCTCAAGAGGAACCTGCTATTGTTAAGTGGTTTGAAAAGTACACGGAATTTGTACTACAGCATGGTATAAATCCAGAGTCAATCTGGAATATGGATGAAACTTGATTTAGGGTTGGAATTCCAGGGGGTGAGAGAGTTATGGTCCCCCGAGCTGTAAAGCAGCTCTATACTCCGAGCCCTGAGAATCGTATATCTATTACGATCATAGAGGCAGTATCTGCAGCTGGACAGAAGATTGCACCTGTACTTGTTGTACCGGGTAAAATCCATATGGCAGCATGGTACCCTGAAAACCTCAGTGGAAATGAGCTGATATTGCTCTCGGAGACTGGCTATTCTAATAGCCAGCTTGCTCTACGGTGGTTACAGCACTTCATAGAGCTTACTGCTCCACACAACCCAGGAAATCCCAAGGTTCTACTACTCGATTCTCATGTGAGCCACATGAGCCCTGAGTTCGTCATTATGGCAGCCGAATATCACATCATCTTATGGGCGTTTCCCAGCCACCTTACACACATTTTACAGCCATTAGACGTGGGAATATTCCAGCCTTATAAGCACTGGCATAGGCAGGCTGTGCTCTGTGCTATACGGGAAGTTGACATCACCTATAACCTACCCCGATTTATGAGAGATCTCCCACAAATGCGGGAGCAGACTTTTAAGGAATCTACCATACAATCAGCATTCCGGAAAGCTGGAATCTGGCCTATAAGCTGTAATACAGCCCTTGAGAAGCTGCGTACGTACTCGCAGCCTACGCAGCCTACAGAGCCTACAACGCCTACCCTACCACAGCCTATTACCCCTATTCCCTCCACTTTCCAGGGCGTAGAACAGGGCCTACAGCAGTGGAAGGAGCGGGTTCCGGAGGCCTTTAGTAGCCCCTCAAGGCAGAGCTACAGCAACTGGCTTACTGGGGCAGCCCGGGTTCTGGCTGCCGGCCAGCTCCAGGAACTCGACCTACGGGCTGTTCGGCAGCAGGTCAAGGACTCGAAGAAGAAGCGGGGGGGCCGGGACCGACTCCAGTGTGGAGGTGAGCTCCGGGCTTCTGAAGCCCACGAGCTTCAGGCCCAGAAAGCTGAGCTTCAGACCCAGAAGCTCGCTGCCACAGAAGCTCGGAAACTGAGCCAGGCCCAAACCCGAGCCCAGAAGCAGCTCCGCCGGGCAGGAATCGAAGCCCGGAAACGGGAGCGCCTCCGGAAGAAGAGCATAGCCCAGCTCACTAAATCGGGCCTCCCAATTCCTCCGGAGTTGGAAGACCCTATTACTGACCCAGAAGCCGAATCTGGGAGCCAGTATGAGAGCGCAACTGAGGGTGGGAGTGGTCGTGGGAGTGAGAGTGAGCGTGAGAATGAAGAAGTGATAATTTCGTAGAATTGAATTTTTAAGTACTTTTACATATAAATTACTATGGTTGGGTACTTACGGTCGCAATTTGAGAGGACGCACTTGCTTCCTCTCATAAGCGAGTGGACGTACTCGCTTCCCCCCACGGTTAATTGTATGTAAAAAAAGTGATCGGCTCGCTGTCATGTACAACCACGTTATAGAGTTGTAGTTGTTGTCATATAAAGTTTAAAGTCTAGTTCTTTCTAATACGTCTACCCTTACGTTTAGCAAGGAAAATATGTTATATAACAACTTCTTCTAATATTGTCAATTTTCAAGACTTAACTAAGGTTGTATTGTGTAGGTATTGGTAGCGTGTCGATCTCTTAATGTCGTAGGAGGAAGATCGTAGATTCGCGCAACGCGAGTTGCATTTAATTTTGGGTTTGATTGATGAAGCACTTGAAGGCAAGAATAATTCTTCGTTCTCCGTACGAAGTTGTCATGTTTAAAAAAAAAGTTATTTAAGTTTAAAGTGAAAAGTACGATCCTAAGTACTCGGTGTTCCACCCACTCGCTTCGCTCGTAGGTGGCGACAGCAAGTTGTGCGTGCGACAGCAAGATGTGCGACACATAAAACGAAGAAAAAGACGCCTTATATATCAACTATATAACTATATAATTAAAACATAAAATCAATAGAACTATTATCACTATCGCTACTGCCACTATTGCTACTATCACTTTGATCCTTACTATACCGTAAAATGATCACTTTTGATTTCAACCCTTCCTTCTTCCGCTCTGCTACCCGCTTCCTCTCAACCTTACGCTCTTCAATTTCGATTTTACGTGCTTGCGCTTGTAGCTGCTTTACTACTTGGTCCGATTCCCTTGCTGCTCTTGCGTCTGCTTTTGCTTGCAACTTTGCTTTCTTCTCTTCCCGCATTTTCCGTGCATCTGATGCATATAACTGCCCTCCTTTCTGTAGTGATTTCCGTGCCCTTGCCTTTGCTGCCTTCTGCTCTACTGCACGTAGAGTCATAATATCTAGCTCGGTCTTATAGAGCTCTGCCCGGTGTAGAACAACTGTAGTTCCACGTGCAAATGATTGAAACCCTTCTCTTGAAGGCGATGAGAAAGCTTCCTCTGCTCTCTTCTGCCAATGTTCAACCGCTTGCACACTTTGCATAGTTGTTTTCGGTGTTGAGATAATATTATATGAAGCAAATGGCTCATAATCAGGTGTTTGATTCCGAGTCTCTTGTATCTTGTCAATTACAAGTGGAGGATTATATGGATATAGTCCTGTATTTCTCCAACCAGATTGAATTGTACGGACAGTTAGAGATTGCCGTCGGATTTGCGGGAGGTCTGAAAGGAACGTACGTAGCTTATACTCATAGTCGTAGCTACGTACTGCTTGATCAAGTGCCTTTTGATGAAAGTGTTTGCACTGCTTAAAAACCGCTACATCAAGAGGTTGTAATAGATGTGTTGTATGAGCAGGAAGGCAGCAAATAACAATGTTATGCTCTTCTGCTAATGTAAGAAAGCGCTCTGTTTTATGAGAGTCATGGCCGTCAAGTAATAAGAGGCGAGTATCATCTGGTGCCATATGCTCTGCAGATAGTTGGATAAAATGCATAAGGTATTGGATTGCAATGTCGTCGTTTGAATACCCGCTCTCATTTACAATAATGAGAGCATTTGGCTCAAGGTCATCATTGTACCATGAATCCATATGAAGTTTGCCAGGGATAATGATAGCTTCTGCAAGTGCAGCACCACTTGCATTTACTGCCTCAATTACAGTAACAGAGAGCCGATTCTCAGGATTATCAACAGTCCACTGCTTTACACCGATTGGTACAATAACAGCCGTAGACTTATAACACCCAATCATATAGCCTGTCTCATCAACATTCCATAAATTATATGGCTTAATGTTATGTTTTGTAATAAGGGCGTTATATGTGAGAAAGAATTCCTCAAACACCTCTTTCTTTTGTGCTTGCTTCCGATGTGTATTTAACGTCTTCGTGTGAATTGTATGAAATTCGGGGTGTGCTTTTAGAAAGCGTTGTAGCCACCGTTGTGATGGTATCGTACGATTAGGTCGTAAGTCTGCAACTGCCCGTAGTATCATAGATCGGTTGGCAGGGACCCCGCGCTCAAGTTGGTCGTATATGAATTGACAGACCGCGGTCTCTTGCGATTGAGATAAGACTCGATTGCTACCTCCGTGGGGTAATTGAGGAGACGTAGTACTCGTAATACGACATCGGAGTGTCTCACGGTTGACATTGAATTTATTTGCAACCCAAGCAATTGTATATGTACTTGGTTGTTTTAAGAAGAACTGTTGGGCCTCATTAAGGCGAGCAATCATAGTAGGATCGTTATTTTGAGGCATTGTAGATACTACGTTATGAAGAATACTATTATTTTTTCTATATATCAAAATAGCGGTGTACGCACATCTTGCTGTCGCACGCACAACTTGCTGTCGCCACCTACGAGCGAAGCGAGTGGGTGGAACACCGAGTAATCATTGGCGGTGAGCTTTTGTAGGCGACTCGCCTGTGAACTACGTTATATGTATATCTAACCCACTCTATAAACCATCAAATAACCACTCCTCCAACTCTCCCCTCTCCCGTGCCACCTTCTTTAACCCTTCAACCCCCACCTCCCCAGCCTCCGTCACATACACATCCACAAACCGACTCGGCACCCACTCAAAATACGGATTCCGCACCTTAACACCCTCCAGCTCCCCAACCTCCTTCGCCCTCGCCGGCCACGCCGCTGTCACCTCTGATGCCTCATTCTCCTCTCCCCCATCCGTCTCCGCTAACCCCTCCCCACCCCCATCATCCCCCATAATCTTCTCCTCACAACACACAACCACAACCTTACATCCATTCCCCACCGTCGGCGCCAACCCAGCCGCAGCAAGCGACCCAGTCTTATTACTCACATCCCCCTCCCCCGTCACCCTATCCGCCCCAAGCACCACAAAATCCGCCTCCCCCACCGCCCGCCCCACCCCCGCATCCGTCAAGATCTGCACCTCCACCTTCACCACCAAATCCAGCACCGCCCTCGCGATCTCAACACCCTCAAACCTCGGTCTCGACTCCAACACCAAAGCCCTGACCTTCATTTTCGTCGCAGCCGCCGCGCGCGCCAGATCTGCCACGCAGGCCGCCACACTCGCCGACGCTGACAGAATAACCAGCGTCACCGGCCTCTCCTCCGTAAACGCAGCCTGGTACCCCGGACTATGCTGCACGCACGCCGTAAAGTTCGACGCGAGCTTCACCACTGCATCCTCCCTCGCTTCCATCACGTCCTCAATCGCCTTCGTAGCCACCTCCCTAAACACCTCTATCGACAGCGCCTCGAGCGCCATTTCGAAGTCGTCGCTCTTTCCCACTCCGCCGATAGATAGCGCGATCCGCTCGAGCGCTTCGAAGATTGAGGCTTCGATCGCGGGCGCCATGGCGGGACGCGCGGACTTGGCGAGTGTCCAGGCGAGCAGTCGGGTTGCGCGCCATTGCACAGCTGTGGTTGGGGCGGTGGAGAGAGGAGGGAGGAGGGCGCGGCGGAGGGTAAGGAGCGCGAGGGTGGCGAGGGCAGTGGCGCCGGAGGTGTGGTCCATGCGGAGGGTGCGGAGGGCGTCTTCGACTTCGGCGCCGGGGAGGACGCGGAGGGTCGTATCTGCGAGAGCGGGGACGGTGTCGTACTCGGAGAGCTGGGAGGGCGTCACGAAGGTGTACTCGGTGTGTTCGAAGTCTATGGTTATGGGGGTGGAGGGGGAGGCGAGGAGGAAGGCGAAGGGGTGGATGGTCCAGTCTGTGTTGATGGTTTCGTCGCGGAGGGTGAAGGGGCGGCCGCGGCGGAGGAGGCTGATGGAGGGGGGGGTGAGTTGGGTTTCTTCGGCGATTTCGCGGTAGGCGGCCGCGAGGGGGCTGGCGTCTGTGGGCTCGATCGTGCCAGAGCAGACAGCCCATTTGCCGCTGGTGTGCGTTAGAGATGGCTGTGCATTGGATATTTTTGGGGCGGCGGGGGTGGCAGGGTAGACGTGTAGTTTTATCTGTATAATAGAAAATAGCGCTCAATGAACTGCAACTAAAGAGGCATCCTACCGATAAGAAGAAACTTCCTGACTCCTCTTAAACAGCACGAACCGATGCTGTCCCCCCTCCTCCTCTGGCGGCGCGCACAAGAAGCTCGAGACAATATCCCGCTGCCTCATTTTCGGGGTGGTCTTCTTCACCTCAGCCATAGCGCACGAGGAATGCAGCGTTCTTCTAGCGTTCATGTACGGGTTGGGATTGCGATTGAGGCTGTATGTGAAGGCGCGGCGGAGGGTGAGAGATATCTTCGCGGACAAGGCATTAGAGCTTTAGCACGTGAATGTAATATTATGGCGACGGAGTGACTTGGTGGTGATATCATTGATGTCAATGGTAACGATGACCTCACTATTGTGATTCTGGCCCTGGGATTCAGGCAGAATCAGGCACCATCCTGAAACCCGTAAATGTATTGTTCGCGCTCGGAAATCACACTAACGTAAGTCGTGGCGTAGCAGGACGGATGGCGTAGCAGGACGGTTTTCCTTCGAGGTTCTTTTGCATACAAATTTGTATGTAGGGGTACCGACTTGGGTGAATTTCTCGGAATTTAAATAGCATAATAACTCGCACAGTTACGAAGATGGCGCTTAGTTCTCTTAGATATAAGATCTCTATATAGTTAGATATATTTTTTATAAGTATCACTGTATTTTAATGATATTGAGAGAAGTTATATGCTTCCAAATACGTTGACATTTTCTCATATAAATCTCTACGTAAATTTATATGGACGAATATCAAAATATTTATTTCTCCATATTTTTACAACAACGCGCTTTATTTTAACAAGTATCATTAAATGTATAATTCAACTATGTAATTAATTTATATATCTCAGAGCTAAGTCAATAATTCGAAATTGCGCTGACTATTGAAGTTTTTAAAATGTTGGAAAATTTAAGTTCGTAGGTACCCTCACACACAAATTTATATTATATGTAAGTGTACCTCGGAAAGAAAACCGTCCTGCTTCGCCATCCGTCCTGCTACGCCACGACTTACGTTATACAGTAGAGTCCCGCTAAGCCGATGCTCGGTAAGGCGATGTTCGCGATAATGCGATTTTTTTTCTTGCCCCGATTCAAAACACATACAACGACCGGTATCATCAATATTGCTCCATTACCACCTAAATATCGCCTTATCCAATGGTCTATTAGACAATTTGGCTGAAATGCCTCAAAATAAGCCCATTACTATTGAGCAGCGTCGCGCACTCAGAGAGTGGCATTCTCAACAATACCCTCGACCATCACAAAAGGCCTGTCAACGGTGGTTTAAGGACAAATACAACCATTCTCTCAGTCAATCAACAGTCTCAGAGTCACTTAGCAAGCATTTTGACAGTGTCGACAACTCCTCAGCTATCTCAACAGCTGCTCGACTCCGCACTGGAACATGGCCTGACCTTGAGGAGATCCTTTTCGCTTGGCAAAAGCAGATGCTTTGAAGGAAAGGGCAAGGCAGGTTTGGCAGCAACTTCCGCAGTATTCAACGCAGCCTATACCTGATTTCTCAGTTGGTTGGCTCTCTCATTCAAGAAGCGACACAACATCCGACAGTATACAAATCACGGCGAGGCAGGATCTTGTCATACTGACATTTGTTGCACTCAGTTTGCTATCAAACTCAAGAGCAAACTTAGAAATCTCCTCCTCAAACCTACAAGTCACCATACATATCTTGGCTTATCAAAGCAATACTACTCAACGATTGCTGCAAACTCTTCTACTACATCTGTTTATGCTACACACATCATGGCATATCATTTGGACACTCTTATTAAAGAAAATCTCCTCCTTAAAGGGGTGGGCCAATACTACCACATGGCATATCTCTACCAACTAGAGGCCTAGGAACATGAACAATAGCTCTAGAAGCTTTTACAACCCTCTATGATTCATTACACATCATCGCTCCTTAGTTACCCACAAGATTGGTTAAGTTATGACATAATTTGTCTATAGGTACTCTGACCTTGGACCTCCTTTTCACTTCCTATAGGCTAGGAACCCAAGAGATGGTTCTATGGGATTCTCTTATGTTCACTACATGATTAGCAAGCTAGTTGTGGGTCGCACTTGATTTCTAATACAGTTACCAAGCCTGGTTAGTCATGGAAAGTCTTGGAAAATGAGAGAACTACACTCCTTTAGCATAAATAGGATTGCCCTTTCCTTAAGAATGGGCAAGCAGACAATACAGAAAATCGACTATCACATACTTCTATGTCTTTTCCAAGCTTCCAAGCATTGATCTTGGTATTCTTTGTTTCTGAAAAGTCAGTGAGATGCTAACCTCTGACTTACCCCTGAGTTCTCAGACTCAACATTTGTTACAACTTGTCTGAACCACTTACTACAGACATGACAGAGGAGATTTGGATTTAGGGTTATTTTAAAGTGAGAATAGCATCAATTTTATTTCATAATTTAATAACTTAATTAGTTATAACTTTGTTGTTTAGATAGTGGTTATATTAGATTCTACATACTAATGATATCTGGCTGGCTAGATGCAATTTCACTTTCTAGATGCACTTTGCTTTCGCCAACCACCTGTAAGGTGGTTGTTGCGAACACTAATGATTAGTTCATAGGCGAGTCGCCTACACAAGCTCACTGTTGATTATTCCTTAGCATCATACAAATCATAAAATATCTCAACAATTAATTAATAAAATATTCTAACTCTTTGGCATTTGAATCATCACATGTATCTACAATATTTAGATAAGTTTGCCCATTGTGACTAGTTTATTTATAACATCTACAATAATGTTTTTGCAGCTTAGTTGCTTTTACAACCTCTATTTCTTGCAAATCAGCTTGTAATTGTATATTAGCCTCTTTTTAAGCCTCTAAGTCTTAGACATTGTAGCAATAACTCCCATTGCAAACCTGCTTCATCAAAGTTGTAGATATCCTGCTCTAAGATTCTGTATTTGGCAACTATGTTTTATACAAGGGAGAACCACCCTTTAATTATCTTTGGATCTTTACATTTTGCTCGTTTATAATCGTACTTCTAATGGAACTTTGCTTTGATTTCCGTATGACGCTTTATAAAGTTGGTAGTCTAGTTCTTCCTAATAAGGCTCTTACCTTGTCAACCACCAACAGGACAATTGGGTTCGATATTACTCATCACACAGTTCGCATATAACAGCGCGATGACTGAAGCAACAAAAGTCTCACCATTCTTTCGGAGAGTATAAGGTCGGCCATTTCTTGTACAGCTTGCGGCTAGGGCGGAAATCCACATAAATCTATGTCTAGGATATACAGTAGAGTCCCGTTAGTACGATGGAATCTAGCCATCAATTTAATATCGCCTTAATGAATATATCGCACGACTGAATGCTTATATAATCCAACTATCTAGATTGCTTTGAACTCTGCCATTAACATCCAATGCCTCCAAATCTGCATCATATCGCTCAATAGCTCTTAATTGTGCTGTTGAGATATCACCTTGACTTTCTGTAAACTCAATTAGAATTTGAACAGCCTGTCGAGCAGCCTGTATTGAAGGTACAGGCTGCTCTAAGGCTTCTTCTTCTTCTTCATTTTGAGCATCATCACATTGACTTAAATGACTTGATATAATATCTTGTAATACCTCCTCCTCTGTTAGTGTCTCACCATCATTATTCTGGGCTTGTGTTTCCTCATCTGGATTTAAGAAATTGTGTAATGCCATCGCATCTTGTATATTTCCAGCTCTTGTAACATTATCATATAATTCAGATAGATTTGGAGGATTAATTGGTGTTGAAAGAGCAAGTGGTGTAGTTCAAAGTGTGCTTTTTCGAAAGCAATTATATATTGTTGTGCTTTGTAAGTAGACATTCCAGCTTCGCAAAGTCCATCGAATAGCAAGATGAAGGTTCATTGATTGAACTGGAGCAATGTTGGAATCAAAACATTGTAACATAAATGAGAGCCATTGTCGACGATAATGAGCTTTGAATGACTGTATGATTCCTTGATCAAGAGGTTGAAATTGACTTGTTGAATTAGGAGGAAGCCAGCAGATTCGAATATTTGGAGGCGGAGGATTGAGTTCAAGACCACAATAATGGCCAGAGAAGTTATCCATAGAGAGAAGGACAGTTCGAGATGTTCCAATATGTCGATAGAAGGCTTGTAACCACTCCTTCATTAAAGTTGTGTTCTCCACTGCCACTCTCCACCCATTGTTGAGACATTGATACTCTGAAGTGCACGAGGTTGCTTTGCTTTGCCAATTATCCAAACAGGAAAGCGATCAGTACCAGTTGCATTAATACAGAAAACAAGAGTTATTCGATCTTTATTCTTCTTGATTCCTGGCTGTGATTGGGTTGCAAGACCTTTAGATGGAACCATTCGCCAAAACAATGCTGTTTCATCCATATTGTATATATCCTCCTCTTGATATTCTCCAGCGAGAGTTTGTAAAGCCTTCATATCCTCTTCTGTAGACTTGCTAACAGATCCTGCCTCGCCGTGATTTGTATGCTGTCGGATGTTGTGTCGCTTCTTGAATCGAGACAGCCAACCAACTGAGAAATCAGGTATAGGCAGCGTTGAATACTGTGGAAGTTGCTGCCAAATCTGCCTTGCCCTTTCCTTCAAAGCCTCTCCACTTGTGTTTCCACCTCGGCCTTCAATCTGCTTTTGCCAAGCGAAAAGGATCTCCTCAAGGTCAGGCCATGTTCCAGTGCGGAGTCGAGCAGCTGTTGAGATAGCTGAGGAGTTGTCGACACTGTCAAAATGCTTGCTGAGTGACTCTGAGACTGTTGATTGACTGAGGGAATGGTTGTATTTGTCCTTAAACCACCGCTGACAGGCCTTTTGTGAGGGTCGAGGGTATTGTCGAGAATGCCACTCTCTGAGTGCACGACGCTGCTCAATAGTGATGGGCTTATTTCGAGGCATAGCCAAATGGTCCACTAGAATATCGGATAAGGCGATATTTAGGTGGTAACAGAGCAATATCATGGATATTGGTTGTTGTACGTGTTTTGAATCTGGACGAGAAAAAATATCGCACTATCGCGAACATTGCCTTACTGAGCATCGGCTTAGCGGGACTCTACTGTATTGAACGAGAGCCGACTCTTTTCGTACGGAGTTAATTTTTGTGAGTTAGGGGTAGAGTCACGTCGAGGAGCCTTTCCATTCAACCGCTATAGAGAGCTGTATACAGGACATCATACGACATTGTGCCTGCTCGAATACTTTGAATATGCCCTTCCTTAATTGATTGGATAGCTAGAAGTATTCTACCCTCCTGATTAGAGGGTTTAGCTTGTGTTGGTTGCAGCATGTTGACTTTTATCAAGTTGACGCGTTTTGGTGTTTTGGTGATCGCTTCGCTGTGAAATACGTTACAGCTAAATAACCCAGCAGTTTTGACATAAGTTAATATTATATTGTCGCTTTACCTACAACGCCTAGCTTGATATATAACATGCCCAAGAATGATGGCTTGGGGTTTCAATTCATTTCCTATCGGGCGTTCCCTTCCCTGTTTCATTCAAGAAGTAATCGCAATCCAGCCACCGAGGACTTAGATGTAAAAACTCTTGATGTTCTTGACAAGAAAGTCGGACGTCTTGCTGCGGAAGTCATCCTTGATGAGCTTACTGTAGGTCGCGTAAGTGTTCAGGAGCTGGTTGCCGTCCTTCCACTGCGGCCACTTGCGGTACTTGGGGTTGGTGCCATTATTCGGGTCCATGGTAGCCACGAAGGAGAGGTAGTAGGCGCGGAAGGATGCGGCGGCGTAGTTGGGGTAGATGCCGAAGAAGACTTGGATCAGATCGCTGCCATGGAAGGTACCCATGACCGGGGTGCCGTAGTCGTAGCTGGACAGATAGGACCAAGATGGCACATCAGGCGCCATAGTGCTAGTGCCAAGGAGCATGACACGACGGGAGAGTGTGAATGTAAGGTCACCGAGGATGGCGGCCAGGCGCTTAAATTCGGGGTACCAGTTGTTCAAGATGCCGGTGCGGAAGGGGGAACCGTTTAGCAAGCCGATGGGGTATGTTTGGATGAGCTCCGATACCTGAGCATCGGTGGAGTGGTGGAAGAAGAGCGTCGTAAGGTACTTAACTATGTCCGCTGGGGTCTTAATGTAGCTCTGGAACAGGGCGAACAGAGTGCCTTCGTCTTCTTGATCGCCAACGATGAAGGGGACCTTCGCGTATTTGCCGCTCATAACAAGGACATCAGGAGACTGGGTCAGGAAGACGCCGTCGGGGCGAGGCAGGTATGATAGCGCCACGGAAGTGTGTGACAGTAAGCCCGGCACAGAGTTCGCTGCATTGAGGTATGTTTCGTATGGAACATCGCGGAGGCAGGCGAGGGTATCCGCCGCGCCCTTACAGCCAGCAGCTTCAACAACAGTGTCGTAGACGACTTGACCCTTGGGGCAGTCGACGGGATCGGCGGGGATGACTGAACCAGAGTTCATAATGCCAGCGCGGAAAAGGGGCTTTCCCTTGTAGGTGTGGTCACCATCGTTGATGACCATCTGGTCGAAAACCGAGATGGCGCCAGCAGACTCACCCCAGATGGTTACCTTGTCAGGGTCACCACCAAAAGAGGCAATGTTGTCAGCAACCCATTGGAGTCCCAAACGTTGGTCCTTAAGGCCGAGATTGGAGGATCCGTCTTTAAGAATCTCAGCACCTGGCAGGAATCCGAATCCTCCGATACGGTAGTTGACAGTGATGAAAATCATGGGCTTGCCCTGCTCAATAGAGGACTTGACCCATGGAGATCCATCGTACATGGTGTTCCAGCCAAGCTCGAAGCCGCCGCCAAACATCCAAAAGAGCACTGGGAGTTTCGCATCGGCGGCGACGCCAGCTGGACGATGCACGTTCAGATAGAGGCAGTCTTCGCTCTGTTGTGTAATCTTCTGGACAAAGGGCGAGTTGAAAATTTGGCCGATGACCGAGGTGGGGATGGAATCATCAAGGGCGTCCGAGAAGAAAAACTGCGGGCAGGCGGCCTGGTTCTTGGTTGCTCGGTAAGTTCCCAGGGGCTCGGTGAGAGGTTGCGGGGACTTCAAGCGCAAGTCGCCGACAGGAGGTTTGGCGAACGGGATTCCAGGGAATTTCTCAACGTCTGCACCTCCGAGGCCAACAATTGTTGCCTGCGGAAATGGGATGACGACTGTTGGGGTTGCATATCTTGCCTGGAGCTCAGGTGCAGGTTCAACAAGAGTACCCAGCATTGGAGGAGCGGGACCCTGAGGAATATCCTCGACGGGCAAGGCCAATGCCAAAGGCAAGGCGAGGAGGGAGAGGAACTTCATCTTGGCGGCGACGACGAATTTGGTTGCAGCGAATTCTCGTTGTTCATGATCCCACCCGGATTGATTGGACTATATATGCTTCCCCATAATCAGACGCTCGGGATTCGCCCGCTCTGCCGCCGGAGATATTGTTAGCTGCCCCCACCCAGGTTCTCCATATCATGGTGATCCCGAAACTTGAGAGCTTCCTCTTTCCAATGTTCATGCTGCGACATTAGCTTACGAGTGAGCACGAAAAACGCGGGACGGCCTGCCGAACACGTACACACCAGTGGCCGCATGATCTCGAAGAATGGCACTTCATCGATGGATACGGATTAGTCTCTCAGTCTAGTCAGGGCCGGTCTCGACGGAAAATTCGATCAGCATTGTTAAAATTCCGCCTAGAATGAAAATCAAATGCAGTTGTCTGACATGTGAAGGTTGGGCAACATTGGCAATACGGAGTTTTTGCAGGGTGGTATGGGACGACATGTGCTCAATCGTTGATCGTGGTCAGGGTATTATCGGTATTTGTTGAGGTATTGCTGTAGTATTACTGGTGTAGCTGGCAGTGTGGAGTATGAAGCCCACGTATTTGGTGGGGGAGTCGAATGATTTTCCTATTGCAGAAGTACGTGCGAGTCCAAAATCACACCCACGAAGTATTCCCCGCAAATCGCAAGGGTCCCCCTGTCCCCCCCATGGGGAAGGAAGCGAGCCAGCGAACCACAATGCCGGAAGTCACGGCCATTGCTACTGTACTCGGTATGGATCGGTTTGTTTATTCCAACCAATCCCAACATAACCTACTAAACTCTACTAGAGACCATCACTATACTCCCACTATATATATCGTTTTGTACGCTATACAAAAAGCCTTGGGATTGCCCAAGATGCGACGCCAGCAACACATGCCAATCAGCCAAACCTCGGTTGTCCAGCTCAGGAACGGGGCGGTAGATCATACACCACGAAATCTTACAGGTACGACAAATAACCTAGGAAGGCTGGTGGTACTGGATAATGCCTGTCAAAAGTTGATCCACTCAGGGTGTCCTCACGATCCAAGCGTGGAGGTGGAGAAAGCCCTCAGACATCCCAAGGAGAAGTACACATGTTCATCTGACAAGGAGAAAGTCAATATTACGAAGCATTATCGAGAAGTAATAGAGCGATTCAGCAGGTGTTAGACACCTCATTCGACAGTCCTGTATGTAGTTAGTGTAGAAAATTTGACCACGAACCCTGTATAAACCCTGTATATACCCTGTACAAACCCGCTCGCCGTGAACCCCACTATTTCCTAAATAGGAAGTAAGACTGTCAGCGTCAGACAGTATGGAGGTATAGTCTGGAAGTTTTGTAGGTGGGGCCCCCCACTCGCAACACTTGGCAATTCGGTCGAAGTACCATACGCGTTCATCGCGTCAAATTGAATTATATTTTAAAAAGTACAGTAGATAGCTAGGAAGGGCCTGCCTTGCTCAATAGCGTACGACGCCTGTCGGATTGAGCAACGCATTCGAGTGGCAATGGCTTGATACTCCCAATTAAGGGAGCGTAGTAGTTGGCATTTAAGCCGCTCATCACGAGTAAGGTGCGGCATTGTTAATAGAAAATATATATAAATTCGTATAACGTGCGTGCATAACGAATGATACAACATAACGAATGATACAGTCCAATGTGCTCACTTAACAAATACTATGATAATTCCACTACAACGCTATAAATCAATTAAAGCTATGTAGAATACTCATCCTCAGATACCTCTATTACCATCTGACAGGTGCGTGCATTGTGTTTTGTGCCACCACAGTTGCCACAGCGCCTTGCGCGTGTTTCTTGTCACGAACCGAATCACGTGCGGGCAATACTCACGTGCCCTTCAGTGCCAAGACGGAGGCATGTCGGTCCGGACAGGACACGTAGAACTATATAGTAGGAACGCGGACCTTCGGAGGAAGGTCAGCGTTCAGTCTTCGTATCAATAGACCAGGATTCTACGTATATTCCTTCCCATGACTTCCCACTGCCCTACTCGCCAAGAAGTCCTTTACATTCTGAACGCTCCACCATTCCTACGATTAGGAAGAGTAGCCCAGTGAGGGAAGTCAAAAGAGAAGCCGAACCCATGCCGCCACGCACCCGCACTCAGACCGCAGACACCGAAGGGAGTGGCAGTCGCGAAGCAGCGTCTCTGCCACCAGCTGAAAGTCAGCAAGGGATCGAGGACCAGCTAGCAACTGCCCAGGCCATCGAGGAAGAACTCCTTGCGAAGCTCCAGCTCAAGGAGGCGGCTGAGCGAATTGAGCGGCTAAGGAAGCGGTTGGAAGACGGGGACGTTGCGGAAGTTCTACCGCCAGGCCTCCCCGTCGACGACCAAAGTGTCGCATCATCCAGCTCCGTCTCTTACAGGGGACTGCCGAAGAGCATAAGACCCCGGCAGATCGCGCCATACAAGGGAAGAACGGTCAGAGAGCACTCGGAATTCGTCACAAGCTGCGAGTTAAGCTTTCGGTTAGAGCCAAGTCTGAATAAATCAGACGAGCTCCGCTGTGACTTGGCGGCAACGTGGATTGAGGGCGAACCTCGAGACGCATGGCTTCGACATGAGAAGGAACCTGACTTCCAGAAGCTTGGAAGGGGTTCAAAAAGTTCCTTCTTGACCTCGTTGAGGATCCAGTTAATCGGGGCCTCTCGACAGCGATCAAATACAAGGAGGCGCGCCAGCGACCCGGACAGTCTGCGCAAACCTTTGCGACCTACCTCGAGATGTTAGAGGGGGAGTTGAAGGCATACAGTGAAGAACATCGAGTTCAGCACTTCCTCGCAAAGCTCCGGCCCGATCTACGCTTGAGGATAATCACTTATCCTGAGATTCCGCGGACGCGAAGCGCCCTTATAGCGCTCGCCTCCCGGTTTGAACAAGCCAACCTACCAAAGGGCCAGGAAAAGGGGGGTCAGAAGGACCACAAGGAAGAAAAGAGGGGGGAGAATCCTCACAAGAGGGGTTCGCACCCCCACCAGGGAAGTCGAAGCGGAGAAAGAGCGGGAGTGAAGCGCTCGCGTCTCTCAGATGAGGAAGAGAAGCGGCGAAGGGACAACAACCTCTGTTTCCATTGTGGAAAGGAGGGACACCGCACCGCTCAGTGTTTCTTAAGGAACGGCGAGGGTGCGCAGCGCATCCGAGCGGTACAGCAGGGGAGCCAGCTAAAAGGCATCCTGCAACCAAAAAACTAGGACCCTCGATCCAAATCCCGATGGATGGAGCGGTTACCCAGGGGAAGAACAGCCTGTCGATTCTCGTCGACGTACGAGGAGTGGAAGCGTGGCGACCCCTTCGCGCGCTCGTTGACAGCGGCACAACCGCCAACCTCATATCCCACTTAGTGGCAAAAGAGCTCGGGGGAGTGTGGGAACCAAGCTACACCACAGCAAGGGGTGTAGGAAGCCAGGAAATACCTCTCTTCAGGAAGTCCCAGCTCACCCTCCGCATCAAGGACGATGGGGGCAAGACGCAAGAAAGAGAACACCTCTTTGCATGTTAGGGTATCCATGGCTTCTCCGCGAAAACCCAGTGATTAATTGGACGCGAGGGACATGGCGATTCCCTACTGACAACATCCAATATCTCTCAAACGAGGAAGCGGAAGAGCTGCGGGGGAAAGGCGGACCAGTGTATGTAGCAATGCTACACCGGATGGACGACCCCCAGGAACCCCGACCTACACCAACAGTTCCAAGGGAATACCAATCTTTTGAGGACGTCTTTGACGATGAAGGGGCAGCGTCGCTCCCAGAATACTCAAAGAGGGCAGAGCATGCCATAGATATTGAGGAGGGGAAGCAACCCCCGTGGGGACCAATCTACAGCCTCTCAGAGAAGGAGTTGGCGACACTTAGGGGTTACATTGAGGATTCGCTTCAGAGGGGCTGGATCCGTCACTTGACGAGCCCAGCTGGAGCGCCCATCCTTTTCGTCCCAAAGCCAGATGGCTCGAAGCGCCTATGTGTCGATTATCGAGGGCTTAACGCCATGACAGTGAAGAATCGACACCCAATCCCTCTTATTTCGGAAATACTCGACCGCCTAAGCGGGGCCGCAGTGTTCACGAAGCTTGACGCAAAGGATGCGTACCAGCGTATGAGAATCCGGAAGGGGGACGAGTGGAAAACTGCCTTCCGAACAAGGTACGGCCTGTTCGAATATTTAGTGATGCCGTTTGGGCTGTGCAACGCCCCCACATCATTCCAGGCGTATATCAATGAAGCGCTCGCAGGCCTTGTAGACGTGATGTGCATTGTCTACCTTGACGACGTCTTGATCTATTCGAAGTGCAAGGAAGAGCATCCGCAACATGTCCGCACTGTCCTCGAACGCCTACGGAAGTTTAAGATCTACTGCAATCTAAAGAAGTGCAAATTCTCAACAAAAGAGGTTGAGTTTCTAGGCTTCATTGTGTCTACGAAGGGGGTCTCAATGGACCTATCGCGGGTCGAGACAATCACAGACTGGCTAGTGCCAACAACCTTCCGAGACCTACAGGTCTTCTTAGGCTTTGCGAACTTCTACCGGAGGTTCATCGCGGACTATTCGCGTATTGCGCAACCGCTCACAGAACTCCTTAAGGGGAGTGAGAAAGGAAAGAAGGTAGGCCCGTTCCTCTGGAACGTTGAGGCAGCGGGGGCTTTTCAGACGTTGAAAGATGCTTTCACGTCCGCCCCTCTCCTCCGCCACTTCGACCCAGCTCAGCCGATAAGGTTGGAGACCGACGGCTCAGGAATGGCGATTGCAGGAATTCTTACGCAGCCATATACTGACGTAGCGGGGGTCACACGGTGGCACCCCATTGCCTTCTATTCGAGGAAATTGAAGGATGCAGAGATCAGGTATGACACCCATGATATTGAGCTTCTCGCGATCGTCGCGGCCTTTAAGCATTGGCATCACTACTGTCAAGATAGTAATTTTCCTGTTATAGTACGGACGGATCATAATAATCTGATTTACTTCATGAAGAAAGTATCAATCAATAATCGGCAGGCCCACTGGATCGAGTTCCTAGCAGGTCTCGATTTTTAGATTGAACATAGGCCTGGCCGCACCAACCCCGCGGACGGTCCGAGTCGCAGACCGGACTACGTCGAAACGCAACATCAAGCATTTGATGGGTTGTTACCCATGCTCCAGCAAAAGCTGGCCCGTGGTTATAGTAAAGCTGTAGAGAACAGCGAGGGCGATGCGTCGCAAAAGAGTACTCGAATCCGCGCCGTCTTCGCAAAAGCGGGCGAGCAAACGGTAACCCAAGATATCCTCCACGAAGTGGACAAGTTAAAGCTGCACCCCCGCGAGGGGCACGCAGAGGATACACAAGCTTTCCTGCCTCGCTGTCGCGTGATGCGAGAGGCAGCTACAGAAGCACCGTACGAGGAGCCATCCCTTGATCTTCGCAAGCTCATCGTTCAAGTCCAAAGTGGTGACCCATTCTTGAAGGATCGAGCGTTGCGAATGACAAAGAGGCGTCCACGGACGGAAG